GAACCGACAAACTAACTATTTAAGTAGTTTCTGAACAAGTGAAGAAGACATTCCAACAACCGACAGTAGGTATTCTGTTGTAACAGATGTCGAACTTTCTTCACAGTCATCACCTAATCCATTCCTTGGATTCTGTTCCGAGCAACTTCAATTGATTTATGAAATTTATAAATTTATTCTCCTAAGTTTTAGATCCTAATAAGGTCAGTATTTTACGTTATGTACTGACCAATCTACTCTGAGACTTTTTAAGTCAATTATTAGAGTTCGCTCTGAGATCCATGGAAGGCTGTGCTTGTATTTGACCACTGACAAACTAGGAGACTTCGTAATAACTTTTAGGTTTAACATAACTGTCGCCAAAGCTTGCCAGTGAAAGCAATTCCAAGTTCGTTTCTTCCATTTCCGATTCTCACATTCTAACTCTTATCTACACTCGTCTCCTTTTCGGTCTTCCAGCTTAACTTTTTTTGAGGCTTCTCCTACAAAAATTCTCTTCTCCCCCACATATCCAGACCATCATGCCACCTCTTCTTCACTATCTTCAGAATATTAGTCAGCCTGTGAACCACAATGACGACGATTTATGTAAATAATACAGGTAACTACGCCTTTGGGTTTATAGGTCCTTTTCACACATTGATTTTACTGACGTTAATGTGAGCTGGTATTCGGATTGACGGTGAAAATATTTCATTTGATACTAGCCTACATACCAATATATATTATTTGAGATTAGAATAATTTCTTCTTGATTGTTATTTTTGCTTGTTAGTTTCTCTTTAGGCCTATGTAATAATCGAAATTACTCTCTCACCCTCACTTCGTTCAACTTATAGCGAAATATTTTCCTCTTTTCTTTGCTTTGAGATGTTTCTTTATAATTCATGTCCTTTCCTCAAAATATGACACCGCATTTCTTGACTCTTAATAACCCAGCAAATTATCGAACCAAAATTAAATGTTTCCTTCAGCCTTTATTGTAACCTATTGCAGGACTGCTTTACCTTCTGGAAGATTTCGTGATGTCGGTCACAACAGGCGCTGGGATCTTGCTTTTGAATCCTACTCAGGGCACGGATATTTGGTATGTGAATGCGTTTATTCTGTGTTTATGTTGTCCTGTGTGTAGGTAGCGGCCTTGCGACGGGCTGATCACTCGTCCAAGGAGACCTACCGTCGAATAAGAGGCGTGGGCCTTGAATGGGCTGGAAGAACCATTGAAAAAAAAATAATAAAAGGCTCTGGTGATAGGCCTCATATATGAAAATTACAATCGGATGAACATTATTTCATCTACAAGTGCTTACCGTATTAGCCGAAATATAAAGTGAGTTCTTTCAGATGCTTCCATATTTTCGGGTCCTTAAGAAGACGTAGAACAGAATGATTGTGAGGGGTTCTAATTTCTGAATATATTTGTGAATGTACTTAGAATTACATACAAGATGTCGAATTTTCGAATTTATTATTTCTTTATGGTATAGCTTTCACTTCTTTTTGCTTGCAACCCTCAGATACTCGTATTTTTAATTTTGTATTTTTTCCTCCTGATTTTGTCATGAAATAATAGGCCTTTCTATGATTTATTTTCAGTTGTTTACCTTCCACCAAGCAACAATACTTACTTACTTACTTACTTATGGAGCTGAGCCCTTCTTGAGGAGAAGCCAAATCTGCAGCTACTCAAGAATTCCTCGGCATTATATGGAACCCGTAGGTTCATTACAGTGTTCACAAGAGCCATCCACTTGTCTCTATTCTGAGCCAGATCAATCCAATCCATATGATCCCATCCTACATCTCTAAGATCTATTTTAATATTGTCCACCCACCTATGCCTTGGTTTTCTCAGTTGTCTCTTTCCTTCTGGCTTTCCCACCAATATCCTACTTGCATTCCTCTCATGCAACAATACTAAGATTTAAAATTAGATCCTTTTAAAATTCGTCAGTGCACTACATATTTCGGCCTACTCACCCGTCATCAAATGCTTTGAAATTCGAGGGAACTGCTGTGTTTTCCGCGTTACTGTGGTTGGTGTTTTCGTATTTACAGCGTTTTTTAAATGAAACCAGTGCACTTCCTCCTTCTATGCCACATATTTTGTCTTTTTTCGGTGTGCCTGTTGTCTATCAAGTGTGCAGTATGGATGTTACGTTGACTTCATTTTAAAATACTGTAAATACAAGAACACCGATCGCAATAGCGCGGAAGACACAAAAGCTCTCTCTGGATTTGAACTCACCTCATGATGGATGAGCTGGCGGAAACAGGTAGTGCAGTGACTAATTTTAAAATAATTTAGTTTTAATACCTCGATATTATTGCATGGTGGACGGTAAACAACTGAAAACAAATTCTAATATCTACTGCAACAGAAAGCTAAGATAAAACATTAGGTCTTTTAACATTCGGGGTCGTCTCGTGTTCGGGATAACATGGCTTATGCGGCTAAATTCACACGTCGAGGCAACAATCGCATAATAAAATACTTGTCTCATTCTGTTACTGGTATTTTTCTCTTGGCCATGTCGGAAAGTGAAGATATGCTGGACACAGCCCACACATTTCTGTTGCACGAAAAGTGAGAATGAAACTTTTGGTGTCTGGAGCACTAACACGTGCCTCTCCAAGTTTCCGCATGACTGGCTTTATCGCTGATAACATTCCAATGTGCAGTCAGGCTTTGAACAAAGGGATTGCTGGAGTCTCGGCTTCATGTTCGGCCGTGTGGCTTCGGTAGCGAAAACTTACCATGTCACGAAACAAACCTATCTGAAAAATGTGTATTTCATTGGGCGTTGTGTTTCAGAACAAGTGGGTTGTAAGAGAGACATGGAAGATCAGTTCCGAATTTAACATTATATTTTATTAGCGATAAATATTAAATTATCAACTAATATAGCTGATATAAATTACTCATCAAGCCACGAAGATATGTGGGGGAGTGGTGTCAGAGGTCAAGATATTCTCTGCATTAGATATAGATATCTATATAAGGCGCCGGTGCCTTATATCCAAAGGAATATTTCCCAACATTGATTAGACAGGATCCTGGACGTGTACCAGAGTCGGTCGGGGTGTACTGAAGTTCCATTCTCACCGATTTTATAAGAGAATTCAGGTCTTTCTGTCCCTAGTCATATGAATCCACCCGGAGTCATTATCAGTATTACTGCACTAATGTAGCAACACTTGTTGCACAAAGATTTATAATAATATTTTAGTTTCAAAACCGAACCAATTTACACCCCTAGCCACATCACGGCCCAGTCATAGTTGCAGGCGCATTCCAGTGCCATACTAACAGAGTTCTTTTTGTGAAAAACACTTCTAAAATCCTGAAATATTATGCTTGCATGTAGGATTCTTATTATTATTATTGTTATTGTTATTATTATTATTATTAAAGGTAAAACTATCCCTGCAAGAAGTCGTGGAGCACATAGGTGTGTGAGACGTCGAGGCTCCCACATTTTCTAGACAGTTGGCTCAGAAATTGGCTTTGAGGTTATCAGCCTTACGCGCTGGCCACCCTTTACTAACCCCCGCCCCGTAAGATTCCTGGTGCTCATTTCTTTTAGAGGCTGAATCAACTCGAGAGCCATAGTGCGGCTGGAAGGATGAAGTCAATTGAAAAATCCATTAGCTCATCGGGAATAGAACCCGAAGTTTGTAGCATTGTGCGTTAACCAACTAAGCTACCGCTTGCCCCCAATGACAACTATTTTTTTTCCTTGGCACTACAGCCCCAGTGGGCCTAGGCCTACCTCCATGAACTTCTCCGTTCACTTCGGTTTTTCTTGATCTTACACATTCGGTAGGACTCCTTGGGCGGGTGATCAGCTCGTTGCAAGGCCTCTACCTGTACACAAACACAGAAAAACGCACACACACGAACTAAACATCCATGCCCTGAGTGGGATTCGAACCCACGATATCGGTTTCCAAGCGAGCGAAGACAGTACATGCCTTAGACCGCTCGGCTACCGTGACCGGCAACGACTGCTATTACTATGACTAAATATGCTAGTATTACCAATGCCATTGCGAATGATGTTAACATAAAACCGAAGGAATAATAAGCTTTGGAGAATTGGCACTTTAGTAGGAATTGCTTCAAAGAATCCAGGCACATTACTGCCATTTTGACAGACATACATAATTGAATACTGCTGACATTCTCTTAGAAATTTGTGGTGGTTAAATCTACACGGGCCGGTCACGGTAGCCGAGCGGTCTAAGGCATGTACTGTCTTCGCTCGCTCGGAAGCCGGGATCGTGGGTTCAAATCCCACTCAGGGCATGGATGTTTGTGTGTGTTTTTCTGTGTTTGTCTACAGGTAGAGGTCTTGCGACGAGCTGATCACCCGCCCAAGGAGTCCTACCATATGTGTAAGATCTAGAAAAACCGAAGTGAACGGAGAAGTTCATGGAGGTAGGCCTAGGCCACTGGGGCTGTAGTGCCAAGGAAAAAAAAAATCTACACGTAACAAATATTGATTTATCGCAAATTAAACTTGCCTAATCTAGTATAAGCCTATTACATTCCAAGCAGATTGGTGTAGGGGCAAAGACCTTGATTTGTATTCCTAAGGTACCCAATTAGAATCTGGCTGGCGGCCGTGGAGATCCGTTGCGCTGACCGCATGACACACTCTATCCGCAAAAGTAGGTACTAAATTCGCCGACAAGCGGCGGTTGCTCGGTCGGTATACTCGTAGTTAGCTTGCGGGCTACAGGCCACGGAGTTGTCACTAGTTACTCGGAATAACTTTACACGACATACTCCCTAAGTGTTTCTCCAGCCAAGCGCTGATACGGTATCTTGAAATACGACACTAAAATCTCCTTCAGAGTTCTACCTGTTCGTGTAATTTGACGCTTGTTGATCTCCGTCATTTCAAACAGTGTCATTAAATAATGTAAGAACATGAATGAAATGCTGAGGATATATTTTATGATTATAATCAGTTAACTGTTTCGATTTGTTGCAGGAAAGATTCAAGGAACGGTAACCGGAAACACTAGTTTGCTTAAATCTGGCACTGAGAGTGAGTTCATTCAAAATCGACGGAACCTCAAAATCCTTTCATGATTTTGTGATTGATCCGCCACTGTTGCGGTGCGCTGTCGGTTTTCAAGGTTCGTAGGGTCAAACAAGAGTTAACTGCTTTGTCATAACAAGAGGAGACTGGCTGCTGCTTAGAATTTCACATCACGATCTCTATCCGCCACTGAAATAACTCATATAACTGTACAGAGAATTCCATCACACCGGCTGTCATTCAATTATATTAGAGTCAAACGATTGATCGATAAGCTAATTGATAACAAGACTAAGGGATCACGGTATAGAGGGTGTGAGAGAGAAGGAAAGAAAGAATAAAGGAAAAGAAAACAAAACGTTGTTGGAAGAATTAATAGCTCACTTTCCTTTAATATGATCCTGATACACAGACCCATAGCCAGACAGACACCCAGACAGCAAGATGATCTCATAATCCTCTATTTCTAAAAAAAGGGGGGGGGGGGGACAGACACACAGAAGTTAATCTCGTAAGCCTCATTTTACTTTTGGAGAATAAGTAAAGTAGGATTAGAATGGGTTGAGAACAGGTGAGGAAATAACGAAAAGGAGAAAAAGAAAGTACACACAGACGAAACGAGGAAGAAAGAAAATCGAAGACAAGAGGTAGAAGGAATCTGGAAATAAAAAGAAAATTACTAAGAGACGGAGAAGTAAATAGTAAGTGAAATTGTTATTGATTAATTCAGCACCACGCCATGAAGACGTACTGGGTGAATGGAGGTATAGGTCCACAATTATTGACCGCGTATCTAGATGGAGGCTAGTGATCAGCCCGAGAGAGAAAAATCTCTTGACACTACCGGGAATTGAACCACCGCCGTCCAACCGTAGCCCGTCTCGATATAGAATGAAAAGGACAGAAATAAACAAGACATGAAAAATGAAAATAAAGCAGGAACGAAAGAAAGGAGTGAAACCACAAAGGAATAGAAGAGAGAGACGAGATAGAAACAGATGAAGAAGACAAGTATGAGAGAGAGAACGCCATTCCACTCCTCTTGTGAAGACGAAATGGGTTATCGAGTTCCTTTAGCTCTTCTGAAATATAATTTATGTTGAGGAAATATTTGATTGTGAAGTGAATTTGATACTTACCATGAAATAGAGATCAAAGAAAATAATTATATAGATTGTTTCGTTGTGAAAATAGTAATATTTGCAGCAAAATTATAGGCTGGGAACTGGTTCTGAAGAAGTGCTACATTCGCCCTGGTAGAATGTGGTTAACCACAGAACAGATCGCGAGAAATAACGTCAAGCTGCTGAACACGTGTTATGGTGCGGTCACTGAAACAATTAGGCACGAATGGAGGGCTTCTTGGCCTGCGTGGCAATTTGACAGTCAACTGGACCTGAAGAATGGATTCTGACAAAATTTGGTAATGGGGTATACCTCAGTTAACTTCTGTATATCGGTAACGGTTGAGTTCCATTATGTGGCACATATGAAATTCAAATCAAATTCCATTTAATCTTCACTATTTATGTATACATTTATTTGGACTAGAATTTGCTACCATATTGCTGTTAACCAGAACTTTCGATATGATAAGTATGGAGCACAAGATAAATTTCCTGTGGCATGACACGGATTATTATTATTATTATTATTACTGGTAGTAGTGGTAGTAGTAGTAGTAGTAGTAGTAGTAGTAGTAGTAGTAGTAGTAACATCAGTAGAAGTAGTAGCAACAGTAGCAGAAATAGTAGCCGATCAAGGTGGCCGCGCCGTCTAAGACATGAATTGTCTTCGTTTGCTCGAGCGCAGGGATCGTTGGTTCGAATCCTACTCGAGGCATGGATGTCTGTGTGCGTTTATTCTGCATTTGTGTTCTGATCCCACGTCCAAGTAGTCCTACCGACTGTGTATAGCACAAGAAACTGAAAGAGTGGCCAAGCCCAACACAGGGCTGTAGAGCCATAGTTAGATAGATAGACAAGCACAGACAGACAGACAGTAGGAGTATATAAATGAAGTATAAACTGAGTATCAGTGGGAAGAACGTATACTTAACTTTGGAGTAGACTAACTTATTTCGTGGAACAGAGTCCTTTTAGAGAAACAAGTGACCTCCCAGATCTGGAATGGAACCCGAATTTTCATTACCTTATTTACAAGAGCGCGACGCTTGTCCCTGTTGTGAGCAAAAAAATCCAGTCCACATTCTCTCGTTCTGTTTCTTTAAAATGAATTTTAATATGACCTTTCAGTAAAAACCTAGGTTTTCCAAGTTGTCACGAACCTACCGAACTTCTGACAAAACTCCGCCTGCATTTCCATAACTAACTAACTAACTAACTAACTAACTAACTAACTTAGGCCGCGCCATAGCTCAAGCGGTTAGTCGCTGGCTTCCCACCGCGGCGGCCCGGGTTCGATCCCTGGTCTGCTCAAGTGGGATTTGTGGTGGACAAAGTGGCGCTCGAGCAGGTTTCTCCAAGTACTTCGATTTCCCCTGCCAATCTTCATTCCACCAAGTAAAGTTTGTGTTTTTTTCTTTATGGTATCTACATTATCACCCAGTAGATTCACATCATTGGCATAGGCCAACAGCTGATGTGTCCCGTTTAATTTCAGTCCCACCTGGTTTCCCTGGAACTTCCTAATGGCATATTCTAAAACAAAGTTGAAAAGTATTGGCGATAAAGCATATCCTTGTTTTAGACCATTCTGGATAGGAAATTTATCAGACATGTGTTTATCTACACGGACTTTATTATACGTTTCATTTAAACACATTTTAATCAACCTAACTAGTTTCATGGGTATCCCAAACTCTATCAGAATATTGTACAATACTTCCATCCTAACTGAATCATAGGCTTTCTTGAAGTCTATGAATAGCTGATGTACTGTCTCATCGTACTCCCATTTTTTCTCCGATATCTGACGAATGCAAAAGATCTGATCTGTAGTTGATCTGTTACGTTGAAACCTACACTGATGATCCCCAATAATTTCATCTATATATGGACTTAATCTTGAAAGAAGAATATTGGACAAAATTTTATATGACGTTGATAGCAGTAATATCCCCGATTATTACTGCAGTCAGTTTTATCACCCTTCTTGTGAACTGGTACAATAATAGACTCCTTTCACTGATCAGGCAATTTTTCCTTATGCCAAACAGAAGTAATTAGATTGTGGGTTTTAGAACGTAATATTTCGCCTCCTGCTTGAATAAGTTCTGCCGGAATTTGATCACTACCTGGCGATTTATACCGTTTTAATTTTGCAATAGCACTTTCAATCTGTAAAGGGCTAGGATCAGGTAAATAACGGCTCAGCTGTATGGATTTCTGTCTGCCTAACATCACTGACCCTATGTACATTCAATAGCTGAGAGAAGTAGTTCCTCCACCTATTCAAAATGTGGGAATCTGCAAGCAGATCACCATTCTCATCCTTCACTAAGTTCCTGCTAGACTCTTATCCCCTCTTAAAGTCATTTATCCCTTTCTACAGGTCTCTAATGTTCTTGTTCTTGTTGTTCATTGCAAGCTCATCAATTTTGTCTTTCAGGTATTCCCTTTTTTGTTCCTGAAATGCCTGCTGTTTTCACTAACTTTATTATGATGCGTAATCCACTGAGGCCATATGAGTCTAAGCTTACCTTCAACATAACTCTCTGACGTATGCAGTGTTTTTCTTATCCACTATATATTTCAAAATATTTCTGGGTTATCTTCAGGTGGTATGCGCTCACCCGAATGGTCCTCAATGCATTCTAATAGAACTTGGGTCACTTATTCATATGAATTACCCAATTGAATATCTATCAAAAAGTAAAACAGTCAAATATATAAGTTTAAATCCCAAGCCCATACTTATATTTTTTTTCCTTGGCACTACAGCCCCAGTGGGCCTAGGCCTACCTCCATGAACTTCTCCGTTCACTTTGGTTTTTCTAGATCTTAGACATACGGTAGGACTCCTTGGGCGGGTGATCAGCTCGTCGCAAGGCCTCTACCTATACACAAACACAGAAAAACGCACACAAACATCCATGCCCTGAGTGGGATTCGAACCCACGATCCCGACTTCCGAGAGAGCGAAGACAGTGCACGCCTTAGACCGCTCGGCTACCGTGACCGGCACTTATATTTTTATAGCCTTTAATAACATAGGACAGTTCAACTGAACGTGTGATTTGGGAATAATTCTACTCCCACTTAATATGAAATCCTGAAAAGTAGATGATAATATATCGTCCAAAAATGGTAGATTTTGTTTGCATATATTACTTTTGTGGAATGTAAATGAACATAGTAGGAAGAGAAACCTTCATTATCTTTAAAGTTGGCAGCGATAATACCTATATCACTACAGCCTCAATTATCACCCTCTTATTTTTTAGTATGTTCCCCGCACTCTTTTGGCATATATTTGGTAAGTTGTAGCTTATTTAGGAATGCGGGTTACATACATTTTTTAATGATGCTCCTTTATTTTCTCTATGCTTCCTTCAATTTTTTTTTTCAGAAAGAAATTTTCCAAGTCGTCCCCTTATGTCTTCATTTCTTATTCCATCTATATTACTGCATCATTTGACAGATCTTAAAAAAATTATCTCATCTGCGGAACTTCGCGAAACTTCCGGAAAGTTTTAACGGTGAAGGTCGGACTGCATCGGCAATCCTTCTCACAAGTATAATGAATTCGATGGTTAGATGAGAAACCAAGAGCTAGCACGCTTATCACTCATCACAGTCTGCAAGACGCTGCTGGAGCCTCCAGAGGATATTCTACCACTCGCCAGCCTCATTTAAGGAACAGCCAAACAATCTGTTCAATAGGAAAATGGGCTTTATGAGTTCTGCCTCTAGGGCCTTGTATTTTCACAAAATCGTACTTAAATTATAAGAAACGAGTTAACCTTTAAAGTACGGTGCTCGTGCAGAAGAATCTGCACTGTAATGTGGGGAACAATTTCTATTGTTCGTGGTAATTTCTTGCATTTATCTCCTCCCAATTCTTCTATTCGCGTAACATTTCGTCGTCATGATATTCAGAACATATTCTTTACCGCGGTTGTTATGGAAGTACATGAAACGTAACGGTCGCATTATTTCATTACGAGATAAAAGAAAATGGGGAAAACTGACTTAGGCTCTAACCCGTTCATGCGACGATAGGATATATTTCTTCTGAGTTTTCCTTCTTAAAGCGAGCAGTGTCTGAATACACTCTAATTCCCTATCTGTATTAGTTTGCGAGATACAGATCATGTCGGACAGATGGACACTGTGAATTATATATATATACATATACACATATGTGTGTTTGAAATTTCAGCTTGTGTCTTCTTAAAAAAAATAAAGTTGATGTCAAATGGCTATTCCATTATGTTGGAGCTGTAAAGATACTCTTGCAAAGTTACAACACTTGGAGGACAAAATTATTTCTGCTTGTATTTCCCTATAGCTTCACCACACCCGTGTCGTAGAAATTTCGACTAACACATATAGATTTGAATTAGGCCTGTATTATCAGTTAGGATTATTTGCAGGTTTTGGCGTTCTTTCCTTAGTTCGAAAAAATGAAAGTAGGCTTATAACATCATGCTGTCGATGTGTCTGAATGAATGAGCAGATCTTTATGGAACTTAAAATGAATATTATGGCACCGAAGCTCATCTCAACGGCATACTTCATAAATCCATCCCATCTGTCTGTGTGTATACCCGTATCGTTGTTGGGCAACGTCTCAGTAAAAAAAGTTACAGCGGTAAAAATTCAAACGCAACAACAGAAGAGTGAGCCGTCGGTATAGCTACTGGCTACGTTCTGGATGATAGAGGGGTCAGAGGTCGAGTCCCGGTAGGGCCAACAATTTTCTCTTCTCCACGGCATCCTGACCAGCTCTGGGGTCAACCCAACCTCCTATCCAATGGGTACCGGAGACTCTTTCCCCGGGGTAAAGGACCGAGGAGTGACGCTAACCACTCACC